GATTATAAATACATTTTCTAAGTTTGTCTTGTGTGCACCTAGTTACCTTGTACTTGTCGCAGTCATTTCTCCACAGCACAACTGCTTTTTTTTTTGTTTTTTTAAGCCATAGGTCTTTTTGTTTGAAAGCCTTTTAGTATAGTAAGAAACAAAAGCATGCAACTATAGGCTATATTGATAGGTTTTGTATTTTTATTGCTTTGTGAATTGCCACGCTCACTAACATGAATTTCAGAAAATTGTTCTGTTATTGTTAAAACTTTTGCTGTGTATTTCAAAGAAGAAAAATAAAGGGTCAGCCCATCTCCTGTCCAAATTCCCTTTCCTTGTTCTCCACATTATTTTATGCGCGCGGCCATAATAAAAAAATTGATACTCTGCAGAACTGAGCAAGTCTGTCTTATCACAAGGTGGCTGTTAACCAAGATCATTCAGCCACCAGCCGTGCACGCTGAGTCAATGATATGAAAATCAATCTCTTGATGAGCAAAAGGGCTGGTGGGTGGGAGGCAGGTTAAACTTCTATAGGCATTAAGAGCACAGGTACAATTCACAGAAGTCACCCGGGAGCTGTTCCAGAAGTACAGGCCGCTGGCAGGGGCTGACTGTCAAAACGTGGCTCTGACCAGCGATGGCAGCCAGAGGAGCTGGGTACAGCAGCAGAATTACAGCGTTCTCACCAGCTTCTGCATGAAATACAGAAGACTGTGTATGTTCAGAAGGGATCAGCGATCCCTTGTGATCGCCAGGAAAAAGGGAATTAAAGAGGAATTTCAAGACAAGGTCTGCAGCAGATAGAGCCCCCAGGAGAAGTTGCAGACGAGGAACATAAAAGGGCAAATAGAGAGAGGGATCAGTCGCAGGGGAGAAGAGCAACCCTCGGGTTCCCCAGCAGGAACAGGAGGGCTGGTATGCGCTCATAGCTGAGGCGGGAGCAGTTCAGAAAGGACGGTGATGGGCTGAGTACTGCCACAGGACCCGGGGTGGTCGAAGGGGAGCATCCTGGTGGATGGCAGCCACCTGCATGAGGGAGGCTGCCAGCACAGAGGGGCAGAAGGCACCTCGGAGCCCAGCGAGCAAAGCCTGCCCAGGGCTTGGATGCTACTGCAGAGTAAACGCACACAGGAAATTAAACGCGGTTAATCCATGGAACCAGTAACAGTTACTTAACTCCAGTAAAACTTGCCAGCAATGAAGCAAACACAAGGGCCTAAGGCCAGTTTTGTTTTCTTTTTTCTAAATACATTTCTCCCCAGTGATTAGCAAGGACATTTTAGCAAAAGCAGGTGTTTAAGCCCTACTGATCCCCATCTGAACACCACCACCAGAATCAAAATCTGTTTGGGCTTTGGTTACAGTTTATGGGAAAGCTTTGTAATGCAGGAATTTATAGATTTGTTAACCACAAAGCTGATACGCTCCCAGCAAGAAACCCAGAAACTAGCAAGAAGATTGATGCTCTTACAAGGCACGAACACCTAGATCAAACAGGAGCAGAAGCAGCAGTACTTGCAAACTCCATTCAGTACACACAGCTGACGGGCCTCCACTGCCCAGCTGAAATAACGATCCATGGAAAGAACTGTATCATTATCACATCCTTTGCATTTACCTGCACACAGAGCTGCGCTGACCAAGGGTTGGTCGGAAAACAGAAAAATAAGTTTAGTTGCTAGCTTTCCAGCCACTGACTGGACGGCTGGGAGCTCACGCCTCTTGGTCTCTCTAGGCTTGAGTTTGCAAACTCAGCTTGGTATTGTTTCCTCCAGATGTGGTGGCCTTGGATAGGGCAAGGGCTGAAGATTAACTCCTCAATTACAGGCAAGTTCAGCAGAAGTATTGGCAAAATCCCCAAACTGCCGTTAACCACGCTGGAGGGCACTCCTGGCACCCCCTCCCTTCAGCTTTGAGGAAACAGCCAAAGCGAGTCCCAGAACCACGGAGGTTCTCCCGAGCACAGCCTGCAGCCTCTGTGCCATCGCTTACCTGTCCCGGTTACATACCCTCATGCCATCGCCCCTCATTCTTGGGGTCTGTACCTGAAACACCCTTCAGAAGGCAACGGCTCTGTTCCGTGGCCACTGAGGGAGAATTAAAGTGAGCGAGAAGGGCTTAGCTTTTTAAATGGGCCACTTCCTCCTGCTCCGTAATCACTTCAGCGAACTGGAATGAGTTACGAGGAAAAGAAAAAGAAAACACAATTTTTTCATAGTAAGATTCCCAGTGCTGAACACTCGCTCTTTTACAAGGACTGCACCAGAAGCAGATACAGAAGACAACCATTTCTTAGCAATCTGTTTCTTACTCTATGCAGAGCCACAGTCCTGTAGATGATTTATGCTAGTTCCCTTGAAAAATAGACCAGCTTAATATATTTGTGCACAAATATAGAGTTGAAATAATGGGCAGTTAATACTAGACCATGCTTTCTGAAAAAGAGGAAAACCACAAGCTAAGAATCACTTTACCTCACATCCAAATCCCCGTCCCCCAGCTGAACCCAGGTCTTTGCACAGTGCAACCCCAGCCGGGTTGGGGAAACTTCTCACACAGAGACCCGAATGCTGCCTTAGGAACAGATTCAGAAATTAAAGCTTAATGAAGGTTGTTCCCCATCCAGTGTTAGAAACCAATTCATGCCATTCCCTACAAAGGTATCAGTGAGACATACATAGACGGAATCAAATAGACATATAGAAATGACTTTTTATTTTGTGAAGAACGCTTGAAAAATAAAGATGAAAGCTTTTCCAGGCTTTGGAATATAACCATCATAAACTGTGGAATCACAAAGACTCCGTTTTAAAAAGGTGTTCCACTCTCCCTACCCCCATTTTTAATGAACTCTCTCATTGTGGAACGACACACAATAGTTTTAAGGAAAAAATACACATTTTGAGCCAACATTAGAAATGATTCAAGATTGGTTCAGTGCAGGCGCTGCTACATTACACTTTAACAAAGGCACATACTAAAATCCCCCCGTTAGTACTTGTAACCCATATTTAAATCTCTCCAAACTTTGTGTTTTCAAGAAGAGACTAGCGTTATTAAAGGTAGGTGGGAAGGTTGAGCTCAGTACAGCTGTCCAGCAAGGAAGTGGAGGAATTAAAGTGACAGCAAAGTAAGTGCAATGCAATGGAACAATCTGCAAACACAAACCTTTCTTGCTTACCTTAGTAATTAGCGTGTGTGGTCATTTCCGGCTCACAAGAACACTTGTTGATATGGAAGGCGGCAACGCAAAAATAAGATGGTGAAAGCAATTGGCTGCCCTCACCTCAGTCAGAAAAATCTATCCATAAAACTAGGATTTCAAGATACAAGTAAAGCCTACCTACAACCAAAAGAGTGAGGAAATTAAAATATCCCCTTCTTGAATGATCTGCCTAAGAAAGCACAGAAATACCTGCTTAACTTTAAAGATATGCAAAGAAATAAATAGTAATCGTATGCTTCAAGGTGCTTTTGACTTTTTTTTTTCTTGCTGATAGCTGAGAGTGTCAGTTTTTGTCTTGAAGTTGTCTGAAATACCAGAATATTGTTAATCTACAAAAGATAAATGAGCCGTCTGCTCACATTAGCCAAAATTTTAGTAGTCTGCTGTACTGGCACCTCCTACTAAAAAATGTTCTACACGTACACGAAACAGGTTAAACATTTACGGTAGTCCTCAAAAGTGACTTATATTTTGCCCTCTCATTATCACAGTTTTAATTAAGGATACTTCAGGTTACGTTTAAAAGGTATTTTTGAACAACTGCTTTGCTCATTTCAGAACAGGTTTCTGGACATTTGTGCAGTTCGACAAGGCTCTGTAGTATCTGTGATAGCAGACTTCACTCGATACAGCAATCCATTTGCACAGGGTCCCAGCTGTAAAAGGCAAACACGTTAGATGCCACCAGCACATGACTCCTGCATAGAGATGCTTGTGTGTTATCTTCCACCATTCCATTTTCACCTTATCATTCAAAACATGTTTCGAATTTGATTATAAACAATTAACTCCAGTAAGAGTTCGTGTTAGTTTGTCAGTACTAGCTGTGCTCAAACAAAATTCTGAACCTGACGGGAAATTAAGTTACGAATAGTCACGTACAGTGGGGGAAACGCAGTTTAAGTATTGTAAGCATTAGAGAAGTTTCAATAAGGATGGTGCAACGTCAGCTTCTGGCAAACCCCAATTCCCAGCCTCAGGGTTAAGAAAAATATGGTCTCTCATCAGCTAGTTACACGCGTTCTCCATCTTGACATCCAATCTCACAAGCATTCGGTAAACATTTTACTTAAGAACCTTTGATACCAAGTTCAGCTGGTAGTCAGCCGCATACATCCCCTTCTGTTATGGAGGCTGTAAATCAGCTTTGTGATGCCAAGAGGAACATTTTCTCAAATGTAACAAAGAATATTAGAACAATTTAAAAGATAAGGAATGAGGGAAAGTCCTCTTAATAAGAGTACTGAAAATAAATACAAGCTTTTTTTCTGAGTACAATAAAACCCACTTAAGACCAAACATCAGATCTGCCAACTTTTTTCCATCGTTTTGTTTGTTAATGAAGCTTATGGACAACAAAAAAGCCCTAGCAACTTTAAAATATAAGGTTACCGCACTGTTGTTCCATATCACAAAAGGTCTTCAGGTTTTAGAGCTTGACAAATTCTGAACTTGCTCTTTTTTGAGCCAATTTAGTACACTTGTCCAGAGATTTCCACATTTCCTTCATTCCCGAAATCTGACTCCGGCTACTGCAGACTTAGGTTTATATATAAAGAGACAAAAGCAAATTCTGGTATCGCTAGTAACTTCAGTGATCAGAGATGAAAAAAAAAATTCTAAAAAGATTATGACTGCATTAAAAAACCCCAGCAAACTCCGTAGTGATGGTGCAAGACATCAGCATCTGACCAAAAAAAAGCATTGAGGGAGATTACAAAACAGTCACCAAAATGTTATACAATATATTAATCAGTTTTCTCATGGATAAAGTGCATTTACCTAGCCTGAGAATAAGTACCACATTGATAAAGGGATGCTAAAGCACCTCCCCAAGAGAGATTAGAAGAAAATCAGAGTTATCCTGAATCCTATATCCAGTTTGTCTCGGTGATTCTTGAAGACACTTCGGGAAAGACCCTCTTGCTGGTCCGGTTGAGGTACTCCATTCCAATTTAGTACATCGGTAGTATGGTCTGGTCAGCAAATCATCTCCTGGTGCTATCTGAAAACGCCCACATTGATAGAAAGAGCCACTTCTGGTTTACGGTGCTTAATATTCAGCTTTTCCTCAGAGAAAACATGGTCCTGTAAGCGTCCGGTTTGCCGACTATTAAAAAAAAAAAAAGAATATGCCTAATATTAGCAATCAAGCCTTAGCACCAGCAGCAGCAGCATGAGCCTGGACTGGAGTCCGATTGCCACTTAGTTGTAAAAATGACCTTGCAAACTCATGCTTACAACCTGTGCGGGGCCAGCGCAGCCAAGGAGTTCACTTTTCACCTCCAGAGGCAGTGACAAATTTTGCAGTGTGTTGCAAGAGCAAGACTGAGGCTCTTAAAGCCAGGAGTTTGAATTACCTGAGCACTTCCTTCAGGACTACTGGACTTGTGTGCTCTAAGAGCACCCAGCTAGTACTGTCCCAAAAAATTATCCAGGTATCAAGCTAGTCTGGAAAACGGCAAAGAACAGTTTGCGTATTTTAAAGAAAAATAAATGTAAATACTCAATACCTTTTCTTTTTTTCTAATGCAAGCTGCCTTTGTTTCTCTTTTCCAATGTCATCTCTCACTGTGCTGAAGTCCTTAGTGTCATCAAGGAGAAGATTCTGTTGTGAAAAAGGATTGAGTGTATTAGTTTAAAATTTTCATCTACCAAAACTATTTCCCACGTGTTGCTCAGTTTACACAATTAATTTTCAGAGCATTTCCTCTAACTAGTTTTACAGCAATTAACTTCAAGTTAACTAAGTGGAAAAGATTCAAGAAGGCAAAAAAATTATTAGACTCCTCTGTTTAGTTTTTGCATTTAACAGTGAATTTGCCTTATTCAGAGATTCTTCTTGATAGCCTAATGCATCAGGATAGGACATCAGACTTTTCGTGTACTGCTTTAAAACCCAGCGAGTATGTTCTTTCAGTTAAATAAGCCTTATTGCTAATTCAGAGCTCAATATGCTGCTGTGTAATTCTTTTTTAAATAATGAAATAGATCTGTTATAATTCTTTGGAAAATGTAATGGGTTTAAATTTACAGTACGGTTTTTAAAGGGCTGTTCTTGGATTTTACTCCGAGTTGGAAAAAAACAGTCAATAAAATGAAGGCAAGAAAAAAATCCAGTTTCTTCTGGATAGTGTTCAAGCATAGAGCAGAGACTGACTGCTTGCACTGGCTGAGAGCTGCACAAGAGCCTCTAAGGTATTGTCCTCTAGTGCCAGTACCGAGATATAAAGGGAAAGGCATGAAATTTCCATCAGGTTGATAAAGAACAGGAGAAAAATAAGAAAAAGCATCAGTAGCAACAAATTTCCTATCCACACAACGTATTGTCCAGATTCACATACCGGTACTTTCATAGAGACGTAGCAGGATGCAGGAGAACCAGGAAGAAATTAAGATTCTGCAAAGGGGACAGTGCCTGAACCTAATCCTTGTGCAACAGTTAAAGCCAAGTTAATTTACCTTCACCCCAATGATATCTCCATCTTTCAGGTGGTAAGGCGCTGACTGTAAACTCTCCTGTTTTTTCTTCCGTTTCCTCTTTGAAATTTGCTGTGTCTGAATAAAATCAAAGTAGAAGATTCGTACATGGCAGATCTCAGAAATCTGCTAAAATACATATGCTCAAGAACTGCAGCACAAACCAACGCATACTTCTCTCAAATAACTGTTCATTCTGTCATTCCAGACCTTACCCAGCTAGATATTGGCAGCCACTCAAATTTTTCAGGGAAGTATTTGGCTATTTCTATTTTATCTACAGGGAGACAATAGTGAGAAGCCACTCGGTGCCTCAGTGCCCAGGTTGTGCATTCTTTGGAGATATCCCACACCAAATCCGTGGAGTCACAGTAGTTCCTCTCCCCTGGTATGCCCATCTGTACTCGAAGCAGCAGTTCATGGGGGCTGTCATCAGGAAGAGAAAATAGACCATTCTTGTGAGTCATGCTTTCAGAATCCAGAATTCCCAGTGTTCACTCCCTCCTGCCCTCCCTTATTTTTGTTTGTGGAAAACAAAAAAAATCAGCTTCAAAGTATTTTCGCATACTCACATCTGTAATCCTGACGGACAGTATTTAAGTTAAAAGCTGCTCAATTAAGTCTCATCTCAAATGCACTGCTGTAAGAAATAAATGTCTTGAGATCTTACCCCAAATACTCTTCTTTTTGCAAAGGCTCGATGCAGATTTCCGCTCTGGCACCCAGCTTATAGTCACTGAAAACAAAACAAAGATTATACATGTATTTCCAGTCATATATTCTAAGCTCCTGAGTAGAAAAATCACAGTTCTAGTCAAGTAGACCTGTGCTTATCTGGAAAACCAACGCAAGAGGCTATTGGAACAAAAATGAAGAACTGAGAAAAGTAAAAAAATTGCATTTAAAAACACCTAGAATAAAGCTTAGCAGAATAAGCATGGTATGATCTACTTATGCTCACACCTCCCCCTTCCACAGCTCTCAAGTTAAAAAACGTGCTCAGCAAAGAACTGAAGTAACCAGAAACGAGCTTTCTGTTTACATTTGACTGAGCTGATTTATTTCTCCGACAATCCATCCCACAATCCAGTCAACAGTCAGTCTGTTGTAATGCTACTTGTGCGTTCAGTAAGAAACCTACTTGAGTTGCTGCTTGTTGTTTCGTAAAAGCTTGCCTGGACGCTTACTGTCCACTGTCCATGCTCTGAGAAATGAAGGCAGTGGGACAATCTGCTCCTGGCAGCGTGGTAAGGTCATAGCCTGAAAAAAGAAACATTTCTTCAATAATTTTAGCAGCCAGTCTCCTTGGAAAAAAAGAAAACCACTTGATTAATTCTCAATGCAATACTGAAGCAATCAGAAATAGGGCAAGGTATTTAGATTTATTCCACACCAGCTGTTGCTTGTGACTTACAGGTAGTGGCTGTGATCAACATACTCACTTTTCAACCTCAAAGCAAGTTGGACTTCACTCCCTCCCAACATTTCTCAATTTAACTTACATTTCAGAAGTACTGAATTTCTTTTTTTAACCAAAAATTGTATAACTGGGAGGGAATGAGGCTGACAGAATCTTTGCCCAAATCTCTAGCCAAGTGCTGAGCAAGCTCCTTTAATCCTTTATCAAGGACACAATACTCTTTCCATGCTAAGACAATTCTCCTTGTTCACAAGATGCAAATGGTCAGTTTTTCATAGCAGTAGTTTGCCAGAGACCAAAACTGTAGTCATACCCAAAAGAGAAAGTGTTGATATGGATCAGAATCAGATGAGATATCCTTCCCCATGCAGTTTAAGTAGAACAAGCAACTGGCTCAACAATAGAGCCTTACGATGGGATTGGTTTACGTCTTTTTTCTGGTTTGGAGTTGGGTTTTTTTTAGTTGGGTTTTTGGTTTTTTGCTTTTGGGTTTTTTTTTGTTTTGGTTTGGGTTTTTTTAGTGTATTAAAATCATACTTTTGTGGTTAAAAAAAGCATAAAAAGGCACCTTAGTTTCTGGCCAAAGAAACTAAGCTATACCTTCCTGAATGACAAACATGACCTTCTGTGCATCAAAAGCAATTCTTTATTCATTAGATTCAACATACAAAAAAAAAAAAACCAACAAAAAAAACAACGCAGAAAACTAATACAGGAACAATGTGGAAATGGAAAGTGGCTTTTTAGGAAGTGCTTGTATGTGTATACTTCTCATGAATAATTTTTACATTGTGAAATAAAGATAGGGCTGCAAGCCAAAGTTCCAGATGAAGTGCAACAAGGCTTTTGCAGGTCAGGACACATGACAGGTAGAATGGCAACTGCAGGGGACATACTAAGGAAGTCTCTGAGCTACATGCTCCAACTGCCTCTTGGTACTTACCACTGAACATGGCATATAAGCAAATGCCATATCAGAACATACTGGAGACAAGGGAAAAGGAAATAAAAAATAGGTATTAATAGAGCTCAATTAATCACAGTGGTGCTGTACATTTCCAATACAGGAGAACATCTAACCTGCATCTTCAGATCTTCCAAAGAAGCTTCTCCTGCTATTTCTATACTGCCAGCATAACAAAGATCCATGTCTGTGTGGATGTATTCTGGTGAATCTTTAGATGGGGGGGAAAGGGGGGAGGAAGAAAGAAACAACAGAAGAGTCAACATGACTTTATTTATCGTCCTAAGAGATAACAGTCACCTCAAGGTGAGATTTCACTTAGAGAAGGGACCTGACATCAATTTTTTTTGGAGGGCAGTTAAAGAAACATAATATGCAGTTGATAAAATACATTCTGTTAGTTGCCAAACAGGAAGCGTTCAAACTGATCCTATACTGCAAATTTCAAAACTAAGACCAGCTATTCACGTTGGTAAATAGTATTAATTATTGGTTATGACTCTGAAATGTAGAGCGTGTTGCAAGGAAAGTTAAATCTGCTCTTACCTATGCTACTGAAATAATCAGGGGAGAAAGTAAAAGTAAAACTCAGAAAAAGTTTGAAAGAAAGGAGAAAAATGCAAATAAACCTTCTAAAAGGAGAGGGGTCATGCTCCGCAACACAACTCAGTAGCAAAGGAAGAATATTATTTTTCCTGTAGCAAGGAAAAATTGGTTTGTTTCCCATTTTCCAACTCACAGTTGTCCCAACTTCATTTTCTTCTTCCTTCTCAACGCTCAGTTGATTTTCCTACCCTAGCTGTTTTTTGATTTGAATTTGACCTTTAGAACAAATGCAGGTTAAAACACTGTATGTAATGTCTTTTATTCTACGTAGGATTTACTCATCACTCATTTACAGCTCCTCAAAAAGCAACATAGCCTGAAGTGAATTAAATGTGATATTAGGATTATTATGCCAGCATTAGTCTGGCATTTGAAGCCAATCACCTGTATGCTCATTGAGTAGATGCTTTACAATACTGCCACTGCCTTCAGGTATGGAGAAGCCATTTTATTTACTGACAAGTAAAGAGCCCCTGCTTCAAAATTTAGTGGAGGCCTTACCCTTGACCAAATATAGCTAAGGAATGTCAGAACAGTACCATCCAGCATTTGTGGCCTTGTAAAAAATTGCATCTGTCTCCTAAGTGGCTCCTTTCACCATAAACTTGCTGAAACTTGTACAGTCACTCATAGGTTTCAGAAGGATTTTAAGGCTTTGGATTAAAATTTTGGTTTTGACTCAAATCCCTCAGTGCAATCACAGACAATCAGGCCATACAATTCTTTTCAAAAACTGATCAAGCTCACCTCCTGCAGGAGACACCTGCAAAGCATCCATCTTGCAGGTCATCCCATTCACTTGGTCTTGTGCATTCTGTCCATGTTTCATATGATTTGAAGACTTGAACCACCAGATGGGTATTTTCAGGAAACCCTGCAAAGTGAACAGAAAGTACCAGATAGCTCATGTGTTGCAATGCAGACAATGAACAATTTCACCTTCATCCCAGGAAGAAGGAAAAAACTGGTTCAAATCTGAGCTTTTGTAAAGGCATTGGCATTCATCTGAGATCACACATCATCAACTCTCACTTCCTACTTTTACAGGGACTCGAGTTTTATGTAACCCATACAGGGGATAAAGATCAGATGCTTTAAGAGCAATATTTGTGAAGAACTCCAAAATTTGCTGGATAAACTGGGAATCTTGTAACACTATGTCTCTGCAGAAAAGCTTCAGCATGAGAATCATGAAAGCACAATTTATGTGAAAACACAAGTTCAGAGGGACGAGGTTGATGGAAATGGAGACAGGCATACCACAGCTGTAGCTAGTCCTGTAACATGCCTACAGCAATAATCAGTATCAGTGGCCTCCCACAACTCCCCCTACAACCATCCCTAGAAGATATCCCTTGGCAACGTACAACATTTCAAATTTGTCCTAGGACCTGACTGATGTTATTTTTTAAGATATTCACTTGCAAAGAATCCCTCCGACAGGCTCCTCACGTCACACCTGCACTGCAGCCACAAGGATGCTAGGCCCTCTCCTCCCCTCACCCTCAGGGCTCAGTGCAGAAGAGATGGCACCCTTCCACGCTCTAGGGGCAGGGCCAGGGAAGAAGGGCCCACGCAACACTTGGCAATCAGCAATTCTTTTAGGGAGTGCTGGGAGACCTTGCACAGGGCGGCTGCGCCTCCCTTTCCCACCTGCGGGATGTCTGGAGGCTTTGCCCCCTCTCAACCACTGTCAGGCACAGGGGGCTGCACCACGTGCAGGGAGCTGGGTGGGTCACTGAGGACCCCCGACCCTCCTGGAACACTGTTGCCACCATCTCATCCAGGGGACCCCAGGCATGGGATGAGGAGGGGGCTGGAGCCCAGGACACACAAGGGGAAGTGGAGGGCAGTCCCTGTGCCCAAGGGCAGCAGAACGGCACAAGGGAGCGATCCCCAGAAAAGAGGCCCTTAGCCCCCCCCCGACCCTCCTCCTTCTCTCACATTAGGGCATCTTTCAGGCCCCCCAACTTCCAAAATGGCCATATTTGGCCACACGCATCACCATCACAGTGGACGCCTGCTGTGAAAA